TGTTGTTTCAAGTGCAGCCTTGCAGAGCTTCTGCTCTGTAATTCCCTTCTGTTTAATATCCCAGGGTACCTAAAGAAAAAAGAGGGAGAGAAGAATTATTAAGACGCCTTTGAGTTGCATTTTCAGAATGTTGGTCATGTTTAACAGGTAGCTAAACCATCCTACATTTAACAGAGATCTTTTTCTATAAGGCATGGTGCACAAATGAGAAAGAAAAAAAAACCCAAACTGAATCAGAAGTTTTCAACTGTGACAATAATTCTGCTGTAGTGAAACCTGAATGAGCAATATGCAAGGCAAGAGAAATCTCTCCAGGGGAGTCTTTGCAGAGGTGAAGATAAATTATATGCAATTCAAGTACCCTGGAGTATCCTAAATGGTAGATAGTAAATGAGCTGTGCTTAAATGAGAGTAACTCATGTCAACTAGATTATTATACTGAATTGTGGATACTGTTACTAAGTTGCTAGTAGTGTACACTCAAAACTAGTAAACAAATCACACTAACAAGTTAGTAATTCAGGAAGAGAACTAGTAAACAAATCACACTAACAAGTTACTAATTCAGGAAGAACAATCTGTCATGTTAAGCTGATGCAGCTAGGTCCTGGGGGAAGTCATGAGCTGGGTCTGAAACTGCTTGTCCCCAAAAAATAGGAGCAAGTACCAAAAAGCTGAGTACAGAGGTAGCGCTGCTGGTACATGCTTCCATGCTGCCGTGCAGGCTGTTTGGGGTAGGCAGGTGCCCATGCCGCCAGCACCTGAGTGAAAAGATGTATAAAATTAAAAAGAGAAAAATGAGTCTATGCTTTACGTTTTGGTTGCTTTTAAAGACTCCAGCTTGCTAGTGAGGCAGCTGGCAGCATTTGGCAGGGAAGAGACCTGGCACCCACTTAAAGAAAGAAGGGAAAATGGTAAAAACACCAATGTTAGGGTACATAGACTTCACAGAAAAATGTTGCTGTGGCAGAGGCGGCCGGCCAGGGTTCAGCTGAGCTGCTGGTAGCTGGGGTGAGGAGCAGTGTCACTCCACCGCACAGGAGGGGCTTCAGTGCTGTCTCTCCTGACTTCACTGACAGGAACGATGATCCAGTAGCAAATATTGAGACAAAATGTGCGGAACTGGCCAAAGATTAGAAATAATTTGCCACTGTTTGATGCCAGTGATCACAGTAATGAGTTTTATCAGTCATCAAAGAGTACTTTTCAAATGCACCAGCCATTGTGGTCATAGGGAACAAGTAACAACTTAATACAAATAAATGGCTCTGTTCCTCACCTTAAATAAACGTATGATTTCCTGTTACATCATCAAACAATTGCAAATCACATAAGAAGAATAAATCTCAAAGTATAATGAAAAATAAGCAAATATAAACTTATCACAAAACCATTAATAACTTAAAAACCCATGATCAGCCAATACACCTTCTAAATGTGTTTGTCAGCACATTTCTTACATGAAAAGACTTGAAAATCATAATTAAATCCTAAATATCACTAGGAACTGTCTGGAAATTCCATTTTGCTTAGCTTGATACCAGTCTTGCTTTCCTCTTGGATCACTCTGAGGTGAGAAGAGTTAGATATTGCTCTGGTATTACTGATAGCTCTGTTTTCCCCTATAAAATTCATTGGCTGGCTAAATATTTTTGGAAATTATTCAGTACTTTTAAAAGAAAAAATGTAATGGATTTTTTTGTGTTGATGTATGAAGTTTTTCATTGTATCAGTTTAGACATGTCCCAAAGCATCCCAAAGTTAATGGGAATTGATGGAAAAACTTCATCCTTTTTATGTTATTGTTGTTTTATATATGTATGAATCGTGTTTACAGAAGCCCAATGTAACCCATGAAGCAGCTGCATACTTATTTGCACAAGCAGATTACAAAATAAAGTGTCTTTTTGTTATGTGTTTGTACCATTCCCAGCAGAGAAAGACCAAGATTTGTGCCTGGGACTGTTAGGTACCAGAGCAATGCAGATACAGAACAATAAAAAATTAATCAGATTTTGGAGAATGCAGTGAGTACAGGACAAGTCCAACACTTCAATGCTTGTTGAATATTTTATATTCTGTGCTGTTTTAAAAAAAAACTATCACCACTGATTTACGCCTCCTCGTTCGGTTTATCTATATGCATCAAGTTTATGGCTGTTGCCCCGCTCTTAAGAATATAATTTTAAAAAGCAAAAGGCAAATTTACAAATAATAACTTCTTATTGCTATCTCCAGTAGGAAGACACTTGGGCAAGTGCTCCAGGGTTTAGGAAAATTCTTCTCCCGAAAACCTTTCAGACAGCACCGGGGGAAGAGGGCTTCGCTGAGGAGCCCCCGTCGCTGGCAGCTCTCGCAGGGCTGCGAGGCGGGCTCTGAGGCTTCAGCTGAGGCCTGCAGGCCTCAGCGCGTACGGTTAACTTCCCATTGCTGTTTTGGGGGACCTTATTAAACCTTTCTACTTGTTTTCAGGGGAATTTGTGAGGATTTAGCAGTGGATTTAGTAGAGGATTTAGCTAAAACAGAGAATCCCCACAAACACTTTACAAGACAATCAGCAGCCGGTACTGCGCTTCCTTGTTTGCTTCTGCCGCCTGCCAAGGTGCTCTGAGCAAAGGTGTTTCTACCTCACAGGGATTAGTTTTGACTGCTTTGGCCATATTTACTGAGGAACTGCTTTGTTGCCTGGAGAGGGGAAGGCTTTGTGTGGCTTTGGTCGAGCGGTGCAGTCCAGGAAGGACCGCAGGGCTCAGGGCTGGGGGCGAGAGCTCCTGTTTACTCACGAATTCCCTGGCAATCTACAACAATGAGAAAGCAAACATTGAAAAGGTTCATGACAGGGCAAGTTTTACTGTTCAGTTTGTTATCCAAACTAAAGTCAGCTACCAGCCTAGGCAGTGTTAACCTTTGTAAACAAATTATTTCTTACCTATGAAACCTCATATAATAAGAATACACCCCCCCATGCATTTCTGAGATTATGATATATTAAACTGATGAAGAAAATCAACTATGATGGACAGTTATTAGAATTTCTTTTTATTTTTAATGGGATAAAAGCTGACATTGTCAAGTTGGTGACTCAGAGACCTCCTTATCAGTGTCAAAGTTGGAATATCTTTTCCTTGCTGATGATGTCAGGGAGGTTTCCTCACAAAATCTGGTTCTTCATAAGTCTTTACCTGCTATGTAGTGGTGTGGTGCCTAAAGCAAAGTATGTGTTTGGAGGGACTCTTGGCAAATGTCGCCTGTTTCCAGATCCCACCATTCTTAGTCTTCAGATTATTTCCTTCATTTGTATTTTGGAGAAAGCACAACATGGACTCTCCATGCGCCTGGTGAAAACATAATGTCAGTGGGACAGGCCACCAACAGCCTTTGTATTGTCCCTTACTACTGAGAGCAACCTTCATGCTGGCAACTGGTAACTGCTCAGCATTTGAACTTTGTGCCCTATGAATAGCTAAGTGATTTTTGTGGGTATGTCTTGTTTCCTAGGTTTTAAAAAAAAAAGTCAAGCAAAAAATACCCAACCAACTTGCATATAGTGTTATACTCAGAAAAATCACTGGCAGGTTGGAACTTTTAGCTCCACTTGAGTTTGACCCGAAGTGAGGATCTGTAGGAGAAGCAAATTATTATATCCTGTGCAACACCAGGATAACCCAATATTGCTGTTGACAGCAGAGGAACGAGGAGACTCAGGAATTTAGTGTTCCCTCTTAGGCTTTGTGGGGAATTGCAATATAGGGTCATGGGCTCTAGTCTTTTCTATAAATGTGATTTCTTAGGCCATCCTTCCTGATTTGTCCTTGTCCAGTCCTCTATCTTCACTACACCTGCTTTTTTTTTTTTTTTTTTTCCATTCCTATTGAAGATCCATTCTGTAGGGTTCTTATTTTAGCATACAAGTATCAGCCCAGGCAGTCTGGACTTCTGTTGTTTTAGAATTGTAGATTTCCAAAATGTTTCCAGTGGAACTGTAGATTACTCTAAAGGGAGTCTGAGTCTGCAAACAACATAATGTTTCCTAGCTACACATGATGGATCTGTCAAAGCAGGTATCGAACCTGGTAGGGGGTGTAGACATCTTACGCAAGCAGCTTACATTAAAGTAGGAAGAAGGCATTAAATCATTTTCTTGTGAGTGAATGAAGTTCTTGGAGACTCTGCATTTCTCAAAAAGTGCAAATAAACTACTTTTGAATCCTCCTACAGCAGACAAGATGGAGGAGCTCGCTAGCTTCAGCTGCTGAAATATATTCCTCCCCCCAATTTTTTAAGGTAAGTAGCAAATGCGTGACTCCTGCCTCGGAAAGACCGGAGCCAAGTGCCTGAAGAGGGGAAGCAGAATGTTTGTGTTGCGCAGCTGTCTCAGCCATACCAGTCTCAGGTAGAAGGGATGCAAGCTCTCGCAATGTTATTCTATCTTTTCGTAACAAACATTCTGCTGAGCTACTTAAACATCAGGCAGTTTTCTAGTGATGTTTTTGGTTTTTTCACATGCCATTTGTTTTCTCCTGTTTCCTCCTGTTATCTCCATTCCCTGCTTCCTGCAGTCATCTTTGGACATTAAGCACTTTCTCTGAATCTAAAGGCTGAAGATTTAGCTGAAAGACAAAGTCAGGACACTTTGGCAAATGCTTCTAGTGGTAAATGGGTTTTGTTTTCTGTTGTAATGGAGTCTTGCATCTGTTCCTGTTTGAGACTTTAGGATTTAATAGTGAGAGAGCAGGCAGTACATCTAAGCCATTTTAGCTGGCAGAAATATTGTGATTTTATAGGTTTTTTGTGTTGCATGTACCCTAACAGTATTTTTTTAATATATATATATGTATGTTTTACAGTTTCTGAAGTCAGAAGATACTCTACATTCAGCCTAGGCTAAAAATAGAATCCCTTGGATGAAAAAAAAAAGGGGGGAAAGAAGACAAACCACAGGATTTACTATGTCAGTATGACACATTTGTTCATAGTGGTTTTTATTGCACATTCCTAACATGGATTTCGGAAAGCAGGGCATGGAAGCAGATGCTTTGAAGGAGGAAGACCATATGTCACAGCAGACTGCCAGTGGTCTGGTAAGCATGGTGCCATCTTCCAATACAATAATTGAGAAGGTCATACCTGCCTTATCCCCGGGTTGGGCTGACAATAGGAGTGAGTCCTCCCGCAAGCAGTGTCCACTTTCATACAGTTCAGAAGCCAGTGATGTGATGGGCAACAGTAATGTCTCAACAGATAACCCGGGCCACAACCAAGCTTTTCAGCATACGAGGCAATTATATTATTTGGCCAGCTCTGATTTTTTTCCTCAAAAGTTTGCTTCCAGTGTAACCCAGGCTGGAATCCGTGATACAAGTGACACCTTGGAAATTTTCACTCCTCCTCTGCTCCCCGCCTCAGAGCCTGGGATGAACCATTGTGCTCCCGCCTACAAGAACACAGAGCAGGTTAGTTTGCTTTAAATAATCACTGAATTTATAACTGCATATTATACATTTCTGATAGTTGCATAGCCTCTTCAGGAAGAAAAGACCGGTAACTTTTCTGTCTGTCTATAGGTAGGAAGCTTTACTGGCAAGCACTGGGAAGTGCATCATAACCCTGTGTCTGATGCTGCTGTTCTAATGCATCCATGCAATAAAATGCTTTTCCCAAGAGATAATTAATCAATTTTTCTCTCGTTCTTCTTGTTCAATAGTTATCGCTATCTCCCTTGCTCTAGTAAGAGGTTGCATGTTCTGGCTCCACGTTCTCATGTGTGTAATTGTTGTGGGGCATGTTCATGTTCTTGTTTCCATATGGTTTTCTATCAGTCCTCTTCTCATGCTCCATCTCCTTTTTTATCTTTTTTTCCATTTCTGACTTTTTCCTCTTCTTAGTTTTGACAAAGTGATGGACAGGAGTAACTCCACAGTATCTCTTCCACTGAGTGCTCTATGTGCTTCTCATAACATAGCAAACAATACAGTGCTTTAGTTGCATATTTGAAGAAACTCTTATGTATCCAATACAATTGAATTTATTATTCAGGATGTGTTCATGCTGACACTTCTCAACACTTTCTCCACTAGAAGTCTGTCATCATTTTAACATTTTTTGGTGATGTCAAAATCAGAAGTACTTGTGCTAACAAAACTGCATTGTTTGCCTCTTGCCTTAAGCCCACCTATCCTCAGGGCTTCTTTCCTTCACAATGTTGGTACCACCTCTGGACAAGAGACAGGAGCTGGAAAAACCATTGTTCTTCAGTCACATGTCAGGAAGTTTGGAGCTGGGTTGTGTCAGTGCAGTGGCTCCTTGACCATCTAAATTTCCTGTGGCTGAGGACTGCTAAATGGAATCTTGAGGATATCCTAGGGTCCAGTTCCCCACTGCCCTACTCAAGGGGATCCTCAAGAGCCAGTCAGGAGTCTTCACCACCTTCAGCTCTCAGTCTAATCAAGACTTTAGTACTTTACATATAGGGACAGGAAATTTGTTATTCCTTGGTTGTTTGGAAAGTATTAATGTAGGTAAAGCTGCAGTTGAAGACAACTTCTTGTGAGTCCTGGGAGTCTGCTACTGCCTTTCTTAGATGACACAAACCAGATCATTAAGTTTGATGACCAGAATGCATCCTGTGATATCCTAAACTATCAACAGTTGGTCATAAAAGCAGATACTGGGTCTTGGGCATTCTTTGTTCTTTCGTGGCTTCTGGCATTTGACTATGTGAGTTACTCAAAATGTTCTCAAAGATTATGGTACAGAAAAAGTGAACTTGGGGTTTGCTTTGTTACATGGTGCTTCTTGAGTGATACCAGACAGAGGGGCAGTAGAGTGAAAAATGATACTTCCAGGCAGACTGCTGGGAAGGTCCAGGCACAGCAACAACATGAGGGTATCTTCACGCTGTAAGTTGTAGATCTGGAACAGATCTAGTACTTCACGATAAATAAATAAAAAAGGGAAAAAAAAAAAAAGACCTATCTCTTGCACTACTGATTTCTGATAGTTCTTCCCAGTGGACAGGACAGAAGAAACAGATGAGTGGGAGAAGAAGTCAAATAAAGATAAACTGAGAAAGTCAGAAGGCCAAGACAAGTTGGATAGGTGTGTAGCTACAGGGAGGCAAGGGGGAGTGCCTGGACTGCAGAGGGACTGCTGAAACAGTGGCAGCAATTTAGTCAGAGACAGAGTCAGTCCTTTCTCTGTGTTAGTGGAGATTTCTGAGGAGGCAAAGACTGGACACATTCTTCTATCCTTTCATCCCTAATTCCAGACTGTGCTCATATTTCCTCCTAATTGCATCTGTGCTCTGTGGATACTGACTTTTGAAAGCTGCTTCTCATCGACGGTACTGATAATTTCCATTTATCAGATAGTTCAACAAACAATGAAATGTTGGACCCAGGCACACTTTGAAGTTTTACAGTGAAACCTGATGTGAGGGTATCATCTGCTCTGATGCTGTTCTAACACCTTCTTGGTGCGCAACACAGATGAACACTTCTCTCCCTTTTGTGCTTTAGCCTCTGTGGGAAGGAAATCCCAGCACACAGACCAGAAGAAAATGCTGGCTGATGTGAGGCTGAGTAGCAAAACCTAGCAAGGCACATACTGTCTGCTCAGTGTCAGTGTACCCTCTGAGTTGTAAAATAGCAAAAGAGTTTTAAATACAAATGTCAACATTCTTTATTAAAAGTAATACACGCTCTAAGAAATACCTACCCCCAAAGTCCAGATATGGTGATTCTGTCTGATTAAAAACCATCCAGAAACGTAGTCTGATACTATACCTTTATGATATTTTCAGACTCCAGGGCAGCAGGACCAGCTGATGAGGCAGCAGATGGAGCAGCTGCAAAGGCTGGTGGCTGAACAGCAGAAAATCATCGCACTTTACAACCCAGGTACTCAGGGAATCCCTCCTGATGCTGTGGCACCCTCACCTGCTGATGCTTTCACTCCAGCAGTGAAATGTGGCAGTTCCTTAAAGAGAAGGTTTGATAGTTGTTTTCAATGACTGGGGGCTCTTCCTCTGGTGGTTGGGCTAAAACATTTATTTATTCACATTACACACAAGCTGTAAACCCCAGAAAACACTTCTTTCCACTTTTGTATGTTAAAATTCCAGGAGAACCATGAGGAACAGTTCTTTATGTTTAATAACAGACCTCCTGTACAGATTTCTGTTGAAGTATAGATTTGAATGGTACTGCAGAAAATTATAGTACAGTGGTTAGCATTACAGAAAAGCTGAAACACCCTTTTCTTCAGGAAGAGGAAGAAAGTCAACACACCATCCTTCTGTTAATAGACTCTTACCTTTAATAGTACAGCCTGTTCCTCACAGTATGATATAACTCCTTGAACAGCTTCATTTTACCAGGGACGTTGCCATAAACCGTCATCTGCTCAGCAAGTAGAAAAAGACAAGCCCCCTCACTGCTCCCACCCTGTCCACAGTAGTAGCACATTCTCTTCAGCATGTGACCCCATGGTGAAAGAAGAATTTAGGGAAATCATGTAGACTTGTGACATCATTGGCCTGGCTTTAGCAGGGCTGCTTGTGCATAACATCAGACAGGGAGCATCTGTAAGGGCATAGGAGGGCCAGATGATCCTTGGATTGCTGCTGCTCCTCAGGTAACCTGCTGGGGAGGCAACTTCACCTAACCCATGTGAAAGGAGCCTAAGCAGCCTAAGGCATCCTGTCTGCATCTGTGCATTGATCTGGCATCAGTTTTGTCAGTCTAATTTTAAGCTTCTTTGCCCAGTCGAGGAGCTGCAAGAGTCTCATTTTGCTAAGGTCTCAGAAGATAGAAGAACTAGGTGATGGCACCTTGCATGCTAGAGCTCAGTGTAGCCTGATGTGGTCTTACAAATAGCCTTTTAGAGCTGAAAAGCTACATTTTTTTCAAAATTTTCTTCCCATGTTCCAACCATACATAGTGTCAGGAAGTCCTCTCAGTTAGACAGCCCTTTGCTGTCCCTCCATGCATGTATCAAAATACTTCATAGCACACTTAGTTTGACCAGGTTGGACAGAACAATTTATAATCAAAATTCTATTTCATTTACCATATGAGGAACATCAGCTTGCAAAGGTCCACTCAAAACAATAGGCTTTACTTTAGGCAGAGTTAATGATAATAATAAAACCACCGAGAACGTATGGTCTTTTGCCTTCCCCCCACCCCCTACCCCAGAAATTATGAGAGTTGGCACTTGTTAGTTGGCTTTAGGGAAACTTGACCTTACATTATTGTTGCCATAAAATAAATTGAAATTTTATCAAGTTTCATCTACCTTGCTAATGTATATAAAAGCAGTGATTAGCCAACAAAATAAAAGGGTTGAGAAAAATGCTTATCCAGGAAAATGCTTGCAGGCTTTTAAATTCCCTCTACTGCCAGTGTAACAAAAATAGAAGAAAATAAAAAACCCCAGTCTTTTAAACTTTTATACATGCGTAATTAGATCTGTATAAATATATCCAAAAAGGTCTCTGCTGGCTTCAAGTGTCATTGTCTTTTAAGAATATCTGAGCTCTGGGGCTTTTCTTCATTCCCTCTCAGCTGCATGAGGTCAGAGAACCTTCTGTAGGAATGACAAAAAATTAGGCTGGACAAACAATGAACAACCGGATCCATCACACTCTTGGGGTGCAGCAGACACTGACATTGAACATGTTAACAGCAACTTGAAAAGCTGTATGGCCGTCAGAGCTGCGGAGCATGGACGCAAGCAGTAGAGGTGTACACTGGGGTATATGCACCAGGTAGGAAGCAAGGGCCAGACACCACTCCCACAGTGACCATCACAAGCCTGGCTTTCTCTGCTCAGGTTGTCTTGTGTTGTGAGGACCTTTCTGAGCTTCCCGATGATGCCAGCAGTGCAAAGCAATGAGAGACTGAAGGGAACAAGAAACTTGAGAAAGAACACAGTGTCACATCTGTTTGAAGGTCTCATTTTCCAACTTGATGCTGTGTGACAATCAGTTTTTTTGATTGAGCGGGGTAAGCAGGATCTCAGCCATCGACCCCACAGCCTGAAGCCAAGCCACACCAGCAGTGATACCAGCAGGCCTGGCTGCCATTGTACCAATTTTCCTGATGGAGCTATACCACTGCGAAGTAGCTGTCAAGAGCCACTGCTGTATACTAGAGAGACAGTTTGAGAAAGAGACAGGATGAAGATTATGGCTGAGTAAATGAAACCTTCATGATCCTGTGCTTTTTGCCTCAGAGAAGAGTCTGGTTGAAATGGCTGGCAAATGCTCAGCAAGCTGTCTGCAATGACCGGGTTGAACAAGTACACAGTCTGCGGCTTCCAAGTGTTCTAATCAAAGAAGAACATCCACAGGGCAATTATGTTGCCCATTAATCCCTGTCCAAATGCCACAAATAGCAAGATGCTTGTTGTTACTTCCACTGGTTCAGTGTGAGCAGAACAGCTCGTCTACACCGCTTTCTTCAGGTTCTCAGGAAGGATTGAACAGTGTGAGAAGGAAAATGCCTTGAGTCCCGCTGCACATCATCATGCAAACTTCTCTTCCCTCTGCCCCAGTGCTGTAAATCACTTCATGCATTTCTGAAGCAAGCAAGTACAGTTAGTATCATGAACTCAAAACTAAGCTCATACAGTAAGAAATATGTTTATAGAATCCTATTTGATTGTATTTACATATCCAGATAAATTTAGCTAACATATAAAGCCACAAACAAATGCTTGCTTGAATGAAAAGCTGACCAAAATCTGCACTGAAAGTTTTTATTTGTTAGTGGAGGCAGTGTAGGCTGAAGGTAGCAAAAGACATTGCATAATCTGGTCCCATTAAGCTTTAAAGAGGTAAAACATGAAGAACTATGAGGGCTATGATTTATCTTATTGTGATAATGGTAGTTGCTTTAATGTTGCCATGCATTTAAAGAAATAATCCAGTGACCAACAGTAAAATCAAAACCTCATTGAATTACAGGTTGTCATTTTAATGTCTCCTGGTAACACAGACAGAAGTGGCTCTGCCCACCTGTTAGCTGCATGGTTAGCGCATCTGTCCAGAAATAGAGAGCCCCAGAGTTGGGGTTTTTTTTGAGTCTGTGCCAGACAGGATTAGAATCCACAGATCAGCCTTCTTCCAAAAAGTGTCTTAAGCAGGGAGTGAGGCAATTTCAGTTGCAGGTACTCTCTATCCTTCTTGTTGAAGTCAGGTCACAGGACAGAAAGGAATCATGATGAGGAGAAAGAAAATAAGAAGCGAGCCTAATTTTGTAACCTTATAAAGGGATTTCCTTCCTGGAAGTATAGCCTGGCCTCTGGTCCCTATGCAAAACTGCTTACATCTTTTCCACTTGGAAGTTTTATAATACAATGTGCAACCAGCCATCCAGAGCTAAAGGGAATATCATCCCATCTTTTGCATTGAGGAGTGCCTCACAGATACTTTGCAATACCTAACTTTCACCTGTTAAGGGACTTAAGGAGTCCTAGGGGAAATGTGTGTCTTACATGCTCAGGAGTACTTCGTAAATTCTCTTTAATTCAGCATTCCTGTAGCATACAATAATTTTGGTTACGACTGATGGTTGCAGCAAGCACATTTTACAATTTAAATAAAATATCAAAACCAGAATTTGGTTATTTCGCTCTGAACATGCAAACCACTAGGGAACATGAAAGCAACATTGTTTTTGTGCAATACCAGTTTAGCACAAGATTTCCAGTTTGGTGTGAAATGTTTGTCTTAAGCTTCTCTAATTTTTCTTCTCTGGTAATTATTTTTAGGCTTTTCTGCTTCTCCTGGGATACCTTCCCGACTAGCAGCCGTGATGCCACCTCTTCCATGCTTTCCGGGTACTTTAATTCCTGTCCAGTTCCCATCAGAAAATTCTTCCCAAGTTGAGAGCCCAGAGTGCTTACAGACCTCTCCTTTGGCAATGTGCTCTGCTTGGCAAAGCAGGTCCCCGCTGTTTGTGCCAAATGAGAGCAGTTCAGAAATCTCAGGCGAGCACGTGCAGCTTTCAGATTCAGGTGGGTAAAAAGTGCTGGAAATTTGAAGCTGAGGCTATTGTGCTATCCCTGTGAATTTTTGCCCTTGATAGTAATTGTTACTGATTTTATTGCAGGTCAGGGGAAGGTGCTTTGGTTTTTAGGGTGGCTTGTTATAAAAGCTTTTAAAACATTTTAAACTTGATTTTTTTTACTTTTTGAATCGCAGTCATCCTGCCTCTCATACTGACAGAGAAATTTGGCCTTGTAGATATAAATGGAGCAAAAAGTCATTAAATTGGAAAAGCTAAATTATATGAAGTAGGGAGTGTGTTATATTTAGGAGGAGAAGCATAAAAAGTAGGAAGTGGATATAGCTTCCAAAGGCAAGAGAACATGTGTCTTTAGCTAAGAAGGCCTGCTCTTCATCAGCAATCTTGGCGTTTCTCATATTGATATGGAGTCGCATTGTCTGAAGGAAAAACAACATCAGCTGCTACTTGACATCTTCTCTTTGCTACACTTTGCCAGCCTTGTCTTCTGTGGGAAGACACCAGAGGGTAAGAAGAAGAAAGAGTGATTTGCAAGAAATCAAAAGTTGATTTCAAAATAGAGGGAAGAGGAACAAAAAGAAGTGGGAATGAAACCACTTAAAGGGGAAGAAGATGTAAATCAGACTTGCATCCTGGATTCCTTTGAACTTTTATGGCAAGATCTGACTGCCATGCTGTGAGGCAGTCCCGTAGTACAATTGAAACTTCAATTTCATATTCTTCAACCTAGTTTAGGACCAGTACTCTCACTGAAAGAGTCTTGTCTCCTTCTTGTGCCTGGCACTATTATTTTCATGCTAGGTTAACCTGAGCCTGGGTCAGTTGCCCAGTGCAGTTTATCAGAGAGCTTCAGAAATACTTCTGCTAGCACAAATGGGAGAGGGGTGTGTGGATGAGGACAGCAGGAACCTGGGAGCAAGAGCACATTAGGACAAGCGGAAGGATGACTGCTTTTTTTGACAGAAGCGCTGACTTAGACCTGCTTTGTGTGTGTAAAACTAAGGCTTGAAGGTGCAGAGGCCTTAGTACATCAGGTTAACTCCTGACTGGAAGCTGGTCAGTGCAGTTGCCTTTGAAATATGCATCAGTTGAATGTGTGTTTGAGGACTGAGCTGAACTGAGACTTTCCTGACTGTTGTGATGAGTGTGGGTTTTTACTGCCGGAAACATAAACGTGAGTGTACCAACAGCTTGTATAACACTTCACATTCTTGTTTGAAGGGATAAGCACCGAGCCATTGTTTCAGTGTACCGAGAGCCCCACAGAAAAACTTTCCAGAGAAGATGCTCAAGAAGAGAACAGAAAAGAAAACAAAGGTGAATTACACAGCTGCTTGGACACATAGTTCTTGCCTTACACTGGGGAGCACTAGTTGAAGATTACTGTGCTGCGGCACCTCTCCTTTTAGAGCATTCTGGAGACAGCATAGCTCCACACATGAGACTGTGAGGAGGGACATGTGGGTTCTGCTTCCCTTGCTGCCATCAACCTGCTGTGTCACCTCTGTCTCCTCAACCATATTCTGGTGTAAGGCAGGTGAGAAGGCTGCAGAAACAGCACTGCTTGTCTACCATTGGACTGGAGATTTTTTGTGTGTAGCTGGGAAAGGCTGAGGGAAGGATATAAAGCTTTCATATTCCTGTTGTTGGACCAGAAAGTCCTTTCTCAGTAGCACTGGGTGCATTAATGTGATGAAGTGAGTTATATAGTTCCTGGCTACAGCAACAGTGTGTAAATATGAATGAGCCAGTGAAGGCTTTGTGGTCCAGTTGACAGGCCTAATTTGAACTAAAAGAACAGGTCTCCATTAGCTGACACTTAGAAAAAAGATTAATTGAAGTGGAAGCCTCCTTCTTGTAGTGAACATAGCCAGTAAGCTTCAATAGGAAGATGTACAAATTTGCACTTTTGTGAAATAGAATAGAAAATGCCCAGTTAGAGAGTCTCATGTGTACAGATACTGCTTGTTTAATGAACCGGCTTGAAGGTCACATAATTACAGGCACATGAGTAGTTCGGTACTGTCTAGCAAAGTGTGTCCACTGCTGTGTTCTGCAGTGAACACATCAACCAAGCACTGCAAATCCATAAAGGCCAGGAGTACAAATCATACCATTTGCCCTTTCCTTATTTCCAGCAACTAGACTTGAGGATCAGGAGCTCCTTTTTTTCATGGCTTGCATCATTCCACCTACTTAATTCAATTGTATTCTAAAAAGTATTCTTATTCTATAAAGTTTTGATTCTAAAATCAAAATCTTGCATATGTTGTTGAAAATATAAACGTTTATCATTTATTTTATGATGTTTATTTTTCATTTATTCATTCTATAAAGGCTTTGTTTTCATTGACCTTTTTCCTACTGCTTAGATAACAGTCAATTAAAAGAAAGGAGTTTCCCTGGAACTTTTTCTGCTGTCAAAGAAGAACAAAGAGAACAAGTAAAGGAGGAGATTCTTCCATCTCCCTTTGGCATAGAGGGGAAGACAAAGACTGGAAACATAGAAGACAGGTGAGAAATTCTCTTAGTCAAGCTACAAAAGCATGTTTTCCTTGATTGTACACATACTGTATGTGTTATATTTGCAACATAAAGACTCTTTCTTTTGCTTGAGAGTGGCAGGTATGCATGGGCAGAGATTGCACAGGTCTAGGGACTAGCAGTTGATCTACTTCTATATAATAGGATGCTGGTTTAGCCAATTTAAACTGGTTTTGCAACTGTGATCTTCAAAGAATAGAAGTGAGGCAAAGGTTGGCAGGGAGAGATAACATCTTTTGTTATACCATCATTTCTTCTGCAGTAGCCATCAGTTTGTGATGGCAGCATCAGTCTGAGTAGCTCATTCATTCTTGTTCTTGCTCTGCCTCTTCAGCTGTACCAAGACCAATTTTTATGGGCCCATACAGTGAACAGGTCAGCGAAGTAATCCTTGTTAAAATTATCTGTAGAGAGGAGAAATTTAACTTTTAACTTGGATCAGTTCTCTGATCTGGTTCATCACTGCATTGCAAAAGGAGTTGTACCAGCACACTGAGAGCCTGCTCACGGCTAGGCAAGAATGGGTACGTTGACATTAGTGATGGAAGAAATGCTTGTAGAGTTACAGACAGAAGCAGCAGCTTTTTGGCACACCAAGACTTACATCAAGTATAAAAGAGAAGCAGCAAACTTCTGGGCAAGTACAGACTGAGAGTAGGTGACATGAGTGTGTCTGAGTGCATTAATCGTGTAAGAGTTGGGCAGAGAAGGAAGATGGGGACCTCCAGAGCAGAAGTCTGGGAAGAGGTGGCAGGACCATAAGAACCTCTGTCCACGTATGCTTTTTTGGATCAGCAGTGAGGTTCTGAAATCTGTCTCCCAGTCACCCCTGCTTTTTGTGCTTTGGTTCATTTTGTGGTCTTAGCATGAGCAGGATGAAACTAAAGCATGGAGTGTACTCCAGCTCTTCGTGACATTTTTGCTATGGGACCAGGCTGTAGTTGTTTTGAAGTAAATTTCCCTGAAATGTGTATTATTTAACACTGAGTCCGCAGCAACAACAGTTTTGATCCACAAATCTAATCCTATTAGACCATGTTGTGGGCTAACAGAGCCAAACATATGGAAAGATTATTTGTGGTACAGTGGTGTTAGGGGGAGGTAGGGTATAGAAAGAACAGTAATGTTTTGCATAATCAGTACCTCTATTAAACCCAGGATTTCTTATTATTCAGTAGAAATTATTAGTGAGTGACTAACTTAAGGCTCTAAGCCTTAAGTTTCCAATTTCCAATGAAATAAGATATGTTCATATATGCAGTATTATGCTTCATTTTGAGTCAGTGTTCAATTTGTTAGTCCACAACATTATAGACATTATTTTTCTTCTCTATCACTCTTCACTGGCTAATTCAAGCCACTCTGTCAGAGAGGTAGTGAGTTCTTTGTGACTATAACCAGCTCTAGTCTGGAGAAAATGCCTGAAATATTTTTCCTTTTAATTATTTTCTGTTTTTGAGGAGAGACTGATGCCAGCCAAAAATGTTGCTTGCAAAAAGCATATTTAATGTTTAGTCCAGACAGAATTTTTTTAAGTGAGACTTAGATGTCACATAACAGTGGGCTTTTTACTAACATGCTTCACATTTAAAAAAATTGCAGAGAACATTTCAGTTCCAAACTCAACATCAGCTCCATGAGAATTATCAAAAGAAAACTAATTGGAGAACCTTACTAATAAATACTTTCTTGTTCCTTGCCTAGGCCAATCACACCAGCAATTGGTATTAGACAGAAGACCTCTGAAGAATTTGTTGAAAAACAACTTAAAGTAGACAGTCATCTCATAGAAAAACAGCAGAAGGAGCAGCAGGTACTGTGTCATTGATGCATTCACTTTGTTTTTGACAAGTTCGCATGGACTTGGGTATTTTGTCAGCTCTGTTTTGGCTCACTGCATGGCAGCACATTTTTCCACTGTTCTTTCATGTGATATTGGAAGATTTTTCCCAAAAGTAAAAAAACTGTACTACTCAGTCACAGTCATATTCCCCACTGTTTACCACTGGATTCCTTTCTTTCCACATACTTTCTGAGTCATAGTTTGTGCCCGAGTCTCAACGCACTTAGCTGAATTAGACCTCAAGGTTGATTCTGTTAGTTTATTTCATAATAAATGGTCCATGCAGTCTCTCATGTGTCACTAATGCAAGAATGGGGGCATTTCCAAATACAGTTTTTGTAGAATGGCCAAGTACAGTAATACTGCTTTTTGCCTTATGTGCAGTTTGAGATGAGTTAATGTCTGACACCTCTAGGTGTCAGACTCAGCATTTTGTTAGGCTTGTTGACTTGGAAGATGCACATTTCATCACTCAGGAATTTTCTTCATGTCTCTCTGGCAAAATAATATCTCAAACTGATGCATTTATATATTTCTGTGTCACATTGTAAAAAACACTCAAACATCCTTTAAAAACAAAGACAGACAGAACTTTTCTCGTCTTCTGTCATATAAACACTTAGCAACACCTTAACCATCTGACTGTACTAATGAATTAATGAGGACATCACATAGAGATCACTTTAAAAGTTCTCGTAACTTCCTTGTAATCTTGAGGCTGTTACTTACATATTCAGTTATCCATAGCCAGTGTCTTTAAGACTTCTGGTCTCTCAGCTTCTTCAATTATCATAAGTATCTTCCTTTCTGGAGAATGATTCTCAGACTGTGATTGGCAGTATTTTTGGCGCTTTTTTCAGAGCAAGGCAAAAGTAACACCTCGGAAGTCTTTTCTGAAACGAAAAGAAGGTGCAGCAAGGCTCAAAAAAAATCAACTGAAACCTTTGAAAGAAGACAGCAAGCATTCCAGAAGAGCTGGTTTGGACTGCTGGGGTCATTTCTCCCAGCCTGGCCAAGTAGATGCAGGCATACTGCAGCCAGGGGAATGCTCTCAGTTAAATCTGCAGGTCAGTAGCTCCATGCAGATGGGTACACATGAAAAAAAAGCAGACTGTGCTTTAGCTGAGTGGGAGATCAAGGCTCAGACTGACTGTGAAGCAAAAGTAGTTGAGCAAAATGCAGAAGAAAAAGAAGTGGTTGGGAGAGATGAAGATGCAAAAGAAAATCCTCTTGACTCACCACAGAGAAGGTGGCCTGAAATCCTGCAACCATGTCCTGAAACAGTAACAGAAAAGAACCTACAAGTATGTGAGGAAAGGGAAACTCATCATATGGATTCTCTAGGGCAAGCAGGCAGAAGTAATGCAAGACCTGTGGAGGGTACCCTGCAAAAGAACCTAGGTGGAGTGGATCAGCCTCTGAAGGATCATCTCACAGAGGGAGCAAAAACCCCCTTGGAAGTCCTGCAAAAGCATTCTCCACTTCAGGATTTAGACAGAGGTCGCATCAAGGAGGCAGAGTGGAGTGTAGGCCCTGCATTCACACAGGGTCAGAAGTGGGTTCAGGTATGCCCACAGGAACTCGTTTCGGGGAGCCAGATCTCAGAAAGCAAAAGACGAATCCATGCTGGGTTTAAGATGGTCAATGGTAAGATAGTAAAAATTACATGTAGCTCACCAGAGACTGTAGAGAAGGGAAGCTCATCCTTAGCCTTGCAGCAGGAGTGGCAAAGGAAGGGGATGGCTGCCTCAACACGGCATGTTGCATCTTTGTCCTGTGAGTCAAGCTGCTTATCCTCCAACAGTGATGATGACCTCAAATCTCGCCATGCTCAGTATCCCTCCCAGCATGGCCCTCAGGGAGTAAATCATACTGATGGGCATTTGGATCTCTCTGATGATGATTATGCTAGTGATGAGCCCAGTGGAACTGAAAAAATGTCTGGTAAAAAGTACAGCAGATCACCCCCAAGGAAACAAGATATTCAAGCGATCTCAAGACAACAAGGTCTCTCCTGCAGCACAAGCAGCAGTGATTCCAGTACTGGGGCTGTCAGGACAAAAGGGAGCAAGGCTCGCTCTTCCCTTCAGCAGTCCCAATTTCATCTCACAAGATCGAAAAGGAGAGAGCAGGAGCCTGAATCAAAGAATGAGAATAGGGCCAGGGATGTTAAAAACCTACATCTGCCATGCTCAACAATGGCCAGTGAGATTCCTAATTTCAAGATTCAAGAAACCCCTGCTGTGGAGGAACCACAGAAAAAACTGTTCACAGACACATTAGGTAAGAGCTACCCGAGTTTTGAATTATATTTATTTTCCATAGGGGGGAAAAAATTCTCTTGCATTTATGACTCTGCCTGTGATCCCTAGGTATATGCCCACCTCTGTCAGTATTTCTCACTCCTAAACTGGAAAAAAGAGAAGAGGGGAGAGATATCTGTAAGCCCTTTGTTCTGCTTGGCTCTTCATCATCACTAGCCGTTTTTCCTAAGTCTGTCACCTGAGGTGCGCTTTCAGGTGCAGACTTTTGACTTTCAGTGTGTCCCTGGAGCCAGTACTAGAATTCCTTGTAGCTTAGGTATGTTCCTCCCATTGACCCCTTGACAGTGAGATGTTCACATTTTCTATTTACCCTCCTCAGAGAGAATGTGACTTTAGAAAAGATGGGCAAAATAATTTCTCAAACTTGCATGTTTTCTTCCTAAGATACAGAAAGCCTCACATCAGTGGAAACTGATGATTTCCTAAGAACATCTTCACTCAGTTTGTCCTTCGTATGGCCCCAGTTCTTTGGTCAACCAATCTTTCTAGCCTTTTGGCCTGGTGATATTACTCTGGCAATGAAATGGTATCCTGCTTGTGCAGGATTTAGTCCTTTTTGTTAAACTGATTCTTGGTTTTTCTTCTCTCTTCATTTCCACTGAAGTTAAGTTCAAAATAAGGTTGAACTATCACTTGGCATTCACATTTCTGAAAAGAAATTCAACTACTGACACTGATATATTCCCAAATCCATTTAATGTATCATGATTCGTAGGGCTTGGACTGCACTACTAAGAACTATACAGGGAATGGAGTACTTGCATAATTAGGCAAAGATACATTAATTCTTTTTGACAGATTAAGCAGTAAAGCCTACTGCACTTACGCAGGCCGTGGTTTTAAATACGTAGAGAGGGTTCATAAATATTCACAAAGTTCTGTGTACTAACATAGATGTCTTTATAGAAGAAACCCACAACATCCTTACCAGAGGATTAGAGATTGGCGTATATGACAGAGGAACCTCTTCACTGACTAGGGTGAAAGAAGAACAAAAGAAAGCAATGCATTTCCACAGGTAAATCTGTATACACCAGAAATTGATTTGCGTGTGCATAGAGGCAAATATTTCCTTTAGGATCCTTAAAATCAGGATGCTAAATTCTTACTTATTAGCTAGCTTCTTTTTGAGGGCATCTATGCTGTCTCAGAACTGAAACACTTATTTAGCTCTCTAGGTTAAAAGTAAAGTACCTAACTGAAGGAGGTCAACTCTGAAAACACTGGTACAGTTTGGGTCTTAAAGCTGAGTAAAGCCAAGTGCTTTCTATAAGTTGCTGAACATCTTCAGGTTACACTGAAATCAGTAAGAACTCAGGATAATTTGTTCTATGGGATCATGTAAATACCTCTAATAAAATTTGAGCATGCTTACAATCAAATCAAATATGTATTTTTAATATGATGAAATGTTAAAAATTACTAGGTACTGTAACCTCTACTGTAAACACAGGAGAGATTCTTTTCCTCTTTGCATTTCAAGTGTAGTTCTTAACTAGTGCCCAAGTAGCGTAATATATTGATTTGGATTTTTATTTTAATATATAATGCAAAGTAAGAAAATATTTTTCGTATCTGCTTGTCCATTCCTCTTGATTTCAAAGACCATGGGATTAGTGCCGAAAGATATTTCTGAATTACATTTATTAGTTTGTATCATTTCTGCCTAGAGCTGTCTTTCAGAAAAATACTTTCAATGTCTTAAAAATAAATGGTTTCATTAAAGATCCTTCTTGTTTGTGATCTTGCAAACATATTGGAAGATGATCTCTGGCTGATTGTGATAGGTGTTCCAGATGTGAATATTTGTGGGATTTGGCAGTTCATAAAACTGTTAATGAAATTAGGTGCTGCTTTTACTTTTACTGGTGTAAATTTTGGCTGTGAAGTGACGTACTGGTGCAGAATTACTGCAGTGCTGCACTCTGCCAGCCCTGCATTCTCTGCCTGCTGACGGTGCTGCCTCATAGATGACATAGCTTTGATTTTTTTCATAATAGTGCAGGTTTTTAAAAGAGCTTTCTGTGGATTTAGTCATGGCATTAGCCATAGTAGCCTCTAGCATTTCCACACAGATGTTTATCCAAAAATGCCTGCGTAGTATAATGTGTACATCTTTTTTCTCCACTCACTTTTTCTGATTTATGAGCTAAAACTAATTGTGAAAAGCAGTTTATCCTCCTTGACTCTGTTGGCCCTGTGCTGATTTATGCAATTGGAGAATCTGCTTTGTATTTTTAAACCAGTAACCCTGTCAGGAACACAAGATGACCACGACATTGATAACACTTCACTTGTGTCATGTTGACAACTTGTGCTTCCTGGAGGCAATGAAAATCCTTTTGAGAGCAGCACGACATGCCTGGACCTGCCCAGTCTATCCGTTCTTTCGTTTCCAAGCACTTTGTTTTCAGACCTTTGCAGACACAAATAATACAGGCAAGAGGGTAAAACCAGTTGGGATGCAGCATGTTGTGTGTACCTGATGCCTAACGGAGCCTGGACAGCGCTCAAGGCAGCAGCCTGTGACTCCACCCTTGCAGAACTGAGGTAGCTGCTGCTGGTTTTTGGCATCAGTCAGAGGATTCAATGATAGTTACTTCCTTGTTCCTTCAACAAGGACAGCTTGTTTGCCATTTTTAATACATAATTTCCTTGTAGAATTGAATCTGCACTCTTTCTGGACCAACAGTGGTAGCCAACCTGTTTGTTTGGTTTTTGTGTTTGTTTTTTTTTTTTTTTTTTTTTTTTCTTTTTTTTTTTTTTTTTAATTTTTCCCATCTGCATTTTGCTAAAAGACTTTTTCTTGGAAAAAAGGCTTTTGCTTCTTGTATGTTTTTGCCTCACAGCCAGCCTGCTGTGATGTTCTTCATGCAGAGGTGTGCCTGGGATACGTGCAAGAATTTGAGTTAGCACAAAGTGCTTAGCCTTTTTTATGTATTTTATATCTGTGTTGTGCACCTATTTGCAATTTATAGCTGGGGTATGAACTGATTGTCAGAGGCTCCAAGGAAGTATTGTGTGTTCTCCTAGTGTCCTTGGTTATTACATTTCCTCAGGCCAGGTTCTGTTTTCTAGTGTTGAGGCAAAGAGGCACAGCAGAACACCCCCACATGACCAACCTGTCTTACCCTGCAGATCAGAGTGGCTGCATCTGAGCTGTCTGCTGGACCTGATCCCTGGTCTGCACTAACTCCCAAACGTTGCCCGGCATGGCCTTGTGCAGTGCTGGATGGCCAATGCCAAGACCAGATGTCATGCTAGCAATATAGCACTCTGCATAATTGATTGTTTGGGTTCATGCTCCAGCTCTGATTAGTAATTTGTAACTCTTGTGCAATTCTGAAGAAGTTCATATCAGCTGAGATGCTGGAAGGAATAGCTACCTGCACGTTTGCATGAAACTTAAGACAGTACTGTTCAGTCTTCAGTGGAAGAGGTTATACATAGATCTTGTGTCTTGCTTTTTGCTCTAGTACACTGTATTTCAAGGCAACTGGTCTGGTTATGGAGCAGCGGTAGGCTGGATGTAATCATGCAGGGGTTATATTTGCTAATTTGACTGCATTACTGTGAGGAGAATTAATAGCTCTGTTGACTACTGCTGAGACTTCTTTTAGCATGCCTTTAGCCAGAGTATTAGAAAGTCTTATTTAGGATAGAAAACAACAAAAAATAAAACTTAAGTAATGAATTGTAAAGAGCATCAGGATGTGGGGAGTTCGTTTACTTCCTAGTATCTTTGAGAACTTTCATATTTTTCTGCTGAAGTGCTAAACTCCATTACTGAGAGGAAAACATGAGGTCATGGCTGCCTCCTGTAGCTCATGTTGCTTTTTGAGTAATAGTGATGGCCAGATGGTGGCTGTAGGTCATGAAGTGACCTGAAGCAGGAAGCTAACAAATAATTTAATATCATGATAAAAATGAACTAAGCAGCTAGATCATAGTCATACAAATATACTCCGTTTGAGGATATGTAAAGGTTTATACTCTTCCCCTCCTGTTGAGTTTTTAAGTGCACTTCCAGACCACTCATGCCTTGAGACATTGAGTTCAAAGGCAAAATGTCTTCTGAGTGCTGAGCTCCCACATTTAACTCTTGGAGTATATTTACCTATGGAAAGTAAAGTACTTTATCCCCTTTCATTCAGGTCCATGGATGTTCTGATTTGGAGTAATGACTGGTCTGCTGGAAATCCAGCTCAGTCCCCAGCCTTGCATGAAGTGCTTCATAGGTGCAATGCCAGGGAATGAGCTATGCCTTCTGCAGGTCTGCCCTAATTTAGCTATCTCTTTGAACAGAAAGTGTGTTTAAAAGCCTGTAAGTTCATGGTCATTATGTTGTCAGAAAATTTCAATGAGAATTTTTTCCATCTGCTCAATAGCATAAATTTTGCAGCTGAACACATACATCCAGTGATGAAGGACCTCAATTTAGACAAGTGCTAATAACTTGTTGCCACCCCCAATAGTACCAGCATATATGGGACATGCCCAAACCCTCCAGAAATCATGCCCAAAGAAGGTGCATCTAAAGACAGTCCTTTGTTATAGTCTGTATGCCAACTTAATACTCTCTGTTTACTTTCTGAACAGAACACAAATGGACCAGCTCAAGACTGCCAGAAGCCAAGAGCTGACTCACCCTTTGGAATACAACAGAGACCAAATTCACCCACTGCAGAAAGAAAAAATTGCTCATAGCAAGTTCAAAGGAACAACGAGAGTCACTGAAGAAAATATGAAATCAGAAGAAATACAAGTAAGCTGTCTTCTGTAGAATAAATATGCAGTTCTCATCAATTAATATCCTTCCATGCAGGCATCTTATGGTAGTATCATCTGAATCCTTCCATTTACCACAGATGGCCAATTATTCATGTTACTTCTTGAGGACAATTGTGTGTACAGTGAAGATTTTTTATGTTAATAGGACATTGCTTTAGTTTGTGTTTTAAATGTACATCCCACTTTCTTTATATAAGAAAAAAATTAGGTTGTGCCTTCGGTTTCTTAAGGAAGGTTGAGACATTCACGTGTTCCTTATATTTCCTTGTACTGATTTGCCCAGGTCTGAGCTGGCTTATGAAACATTTCCAAATCCTGCCATAGTGGGCTTTACATCTTTTTGATACAAAGAGACATTGTGCCAATGGCACAGTATTATTTGCCATCATTCTCTGTTCTCATCCCTCAGCTGAGAGTGTGTTGATTTTTTTTCTTTCAACTATCCTGACCTTTGGCTTTGAGGTATTTTGATGATATCTAGCTGTGTCTCTAACAACCTAACCTGCCTAATAACATCCCTGAGTCATTTCTTGTGGTTTCTTCTAAGTCCCTTCAGGGGATTCTATCTGTTTGAATCCTCTGTTTCAACCTCCTTAGTGATAAAGTAATCTCTGAATATCTGTGGGTATTATCCCTATTAAAAACAGCTGGACATAATATGACTTTAAGTAATATTCTAGAAGAATCACTGTTAAAGAGAAGAAAAAAATAGTAAGCCATGTGAGACAGTGATAAAGGAGATGGGGACAGCTAAAAACTATATTTTTATAGGATAAAAGAGTAGGCAATGGTAATGCTCAGAAACATCTGGAACAATGTTCTGCTGCAAAAGGATGTGTAAACCAGACTGATATATTTGACAGCAAACTGAGAATTTCAATTATTTTCTTGAACAGAAAGGTTTCAAAACAAATAAAACTGGCAAGATAGTACTTTGTTCAAACTTTCTATACTTTCTTTGTTTTTCATTTGTACATTTTTGAAATACATATTTTTGTACCATACACATAGTGAATGTTTCCTCTGCTCATGTTCTGTATTTCTCTAGATGTAACATTTACAAGAGGAAGTGATTAACTGTTTCAGTGAGGTTATTTTAGTAATTTGAATAAAAATATTTTGAATGTCCTCTCTGCACAATATTTTGAAACTTCAGGTTTCTTTCCATCTGGAATTTAAAAAAAATTTGTTAGTATTTCTGCCAGAGAATAATTGTATTTCCTGACTAGGTTTAGCCCTAGAGATGAAGTTTGATAGAATTGTTTTAATCTTTTGTTCCCACCTGATACCATAATGAGTGCAGGTTCATTTTTTTTTTTTTCCACAAAACAATTACACCTTCCAAAAAACAAGCACCTTCTGAGCTGCTTACCTGTGTGATTCCAAAGTTCAGAAGTCTATTTTTTCTTGAAAATGGCTGATGGATGTGCCAAATTCTGACCAGGCAGCTCACATCAAAGAAAGGGTGGTGATTAGGACACAATTGGACAGATACGCAAGTGAAAGGAAAGTAGAAAAGGAGATGTGTGTCATGATTGGTTGACTACAGAGCAAACTGCACATTTCTAGCTTAACTCCACCAATATTCCATTTGCAGTACCCAGCATGAGTGCTCTGGAGGAAGAGGTCTCAGTGTTGGCATCAGCGTGGGTAAGAGAAGAAGGAGGGAGTAGGGAAAAATAATGGAGATGCATGTATATGGAAAAGTCTTCTCCAAAATGCACCAAATGTCGTTAGTTTCATTTTCCTGAACTCAGTTGAAAATTATAGCTTTGCAATCCCCTGCTGTTTGTAAGGACCATTTAACTATTCATATACCCTTGTCACTACATAAAGATCTGAAGAAATGACATTTTTGCCCTTAAAATATGCATTGCATTCTTGCCTTTTTTTTAAAAGATTCATGTTTGATGGTGTTTGTTTGCATGGTTAGTCTGCATTTCCTGATTTTCCTTCACACAGCAAGGACTTCTCTCTACTCACTTTGCAACAATTAGTTTGTTTTAAGTATAGGAGTATGCAGGGTAGTGGTTTTTTTGTTGGTTTGGGGTTTTGATTTTTTTTTTAAAGAAATTATTTCAAGGGTGTTCTTTTTGTGTTTCAGACCTTTATATTGAATACTTTTATACTATAGACCTTTAAGCAGAACAAAAGACTCCATGCTTCCTTCTGAATGTATAAGGTGGGCATGCCTAGTCCAGAGCAGGCAATGACATGGCACACTTTTTTTCTACTGGTAGGTGTTAAAACAGCAGATTGCTGGACTGCAGGAGGAGTTCAAGAGAAATGAGTCTTGCTGGCATGCTGCCTACAGCAAGCTGAGAGACCAAGTTGAGATGCTGACCAGGCAGAACATGGAGCTTCGAGATGAGCTCAGAGTTTCAGAACATCAGAGACGGAAAGCAGAAAAACCTCCAGAAGCAGTGAATTTCATGGACAGAACATCAGAGACCCCGGTACTGGAAGATATTATCTGTTTAATTGTGTCTGAAAAATTCAGGAGTAGTTTTTCTTTGGACATGGCATGTGTGAATACTGTTCCTCCATTCCTGCCGTGCTTAGCCTGAAGGGCGGAAAATCAGCTCTGTAGTAAGCCATGTTAAGATACACTCTTTGTGTGGTCCTCTTTGTGTGGTCCTCTTCCACTCAGCCTTACTTATCCATGAGGTGGGCACCTCTACAAGGTGATCCAGCCAACCTGTCTTAGACACTTACATCAGGGCAGATGTCTCCTTCTACTAACTAGGGAGGGATACTAGATAACTAATTTACATTCAATGCCTAAATTAGACAACTAAAGTCTCCTGAAATGAATTCTACACTTTATGTATATAACGCCTTTCACCTTTTTAATAAAAGAGCTCTTTAGCCAGATGCAGGCTGGTTTCTGACATTAGATATAGTGAGACCTTTCATTAAATCTCATTTCAGTTCTTATTTTGTGCTGTAAACTTTCTGAGAAGAAAACACTGTCAGTGGCCTGCCTTACAAAGGCACAAGTTGGAATCCTGAATGTGAGTTACACTGAGGTGGAGCAGGAAGGACAATTGGGGTGGAAACTATAGCTGGGTATTGTAAAAGTCTCTGGTGATCTCCTGAAATCAAAATGGTTTAATCGTAGGTTTACAGATTGTCTTCTCATCTGTCATTCAAGATCCCATTTGTTTTATATACTTGTGGGGTTACTTGGTACACACTATATAACTGAGTAACTTCATTCAAGGGAGTTAAAGGAAGGAAGAAGAATGCTGTAACCCACTTCTTACACAGGAGGCAGCAAGTCTTGGTGAAATTAAATGGTTCAGACTAGAATTCAAAGGACAGAAGTCTGGTTTGAGTGGGTCATTTCATCATCCTGTGCATTCAAGGGAGAAAAGTATATGCCTTTAAAGAGGGATCAATTTAATTCTATGTGTGTTAAGGCGACTAGAACAGATAATTACCTTCTAGATGGTGCAGTTTGGTGAGATGAATCCTACTTTTGCACAGAGTGGCTGAACCTAGGAGAAAATAAAATTGAACGATTTACTCCTAGGTATTTCCCTAATTTGCAAATCTAATTTCCAGTAATGTATCTTTAAAAGATGTTAGAACCACCAATTAACCTGTCTTTTGCTTTATGGAGTGAAGAAGTTTTGGTCTTTCTTTTTATTTGATTTTAGTGTACTTGTTAATGAGATTTTTCACCTAACACTATTAAGTTCCATTGAAAATGTCATTTCAAGTTACATTTCACTTTATTTTTAATTTTCCCAAACCTACCTGTTCATATGACTCATCCTTTTATAGATTATGAAGGTCAGAAAAAAAGATTAGAGTCACAGGTACAGAATGAAAAAATATAAAAATCCCAATAAAAGCAAGGATAAGAAAAGGCTAATTGACTTCTGTTGTAGGCCAGATTCCTGTATTATTTCTGCTGCTTTGGGACATTTGGTGATGTAGAACTACTGCTCAAGCCACTGAAGATTTTTGTTTTGTGAGAGTAATATTAGGATGCTATGTATAAAGATGCTAGGATGCCATATGCAAAGATTGTTGTGTCTGATACTGGGGAGTTTCAGTCCCTAGCAGAACAAGATATGGAATTTCATTCCTTGTGTTTAAATATCATAATTTTTATTACAACAGAAAACCAGACGGCTTTGAGGGTTGTTTCATTCTGCTAGCTGTGACTTGAAATTAAATTCATATATTTATAACAAATTCTCCATTAGGTTGCAGAAGCTATCCTGCGAGAGACAGCGTCTTCATCCAAAAAAGAAGAAAGATCACAGAGAGATAATAATAAGAGCCACAGCATCTCTCATATGGGGCTGAAGACATCTTTGGAAAAACACTTCTTGAGAGATGTGAATAGCAAAGTATGCATTCCTATTGTTAGTAGTCACTTTTTCACAGTTTCAAATATTTATTTAAGAGAACGTTCTTTAGAATCAAAATTTGTGCAAATGAAAGTGTCAGTACAAGCATGGTCATGTTTTCTTGTGGTGGGCTTGTGCTGTCATTCAGCATAAATTTGCTTGTAGTTTTTCTTCCGGTTTTACAGTAGCAGGAGACAAAACTTTTTTTCTTCTTCTAGACCTAATTGAATTGCCTGTTGTTTGTGAGTATGCTCTGAATTCATTGTACCTGCTGCTTCACAGATTGGTTTTACAGGGAACTGCCATGCCTTGCCTCATCAAACCATAAATCCAGTATTTCGCCATTTGAGGTTTTACTTGCCAAAAAGCACTAGTGCTCTTCTGCCTGGTAAAGTCAGTGGGAAAAATCACTTAACTTTTTACAAGTTGTGACAAGTTAACTTTATATGTCAAGTGAGATGCTTGTCTCTGACTGGTATTTCTATGACTGCTCCTCCAATGCCAGCTTACCACTTTTCTCACTGTTTAGAATATACAGATATCCAAGTACTTCGTTGTGCTTTTCTTTCTCTTGGCTCTGTATTTCTTACTTCTTATTATGAGTATCTTGATTATTGCAAGTCCCCTTCCTTTCTTTTGCTTACATTTGGATGAAATCTGTGCTTTGTTCAAGTGAAGAGTCTCTCCTAAATTCCTTCTACCTACTGGAAACTAATCTCCAGATTGCATTGTCTAAAGCAAAACGTAGCTCAGATTAGCCAACACACCGCTCGCTCTGCCTGTTTAGGGACTGAAATCAAATATAAAACATGCCAGATGAGAAAGGAGGCAACTATTCCACTCCAGTGATCATGACAGTATGTGTATTGAAAGTCACCAGACAGTGGCTTTAGTGAATCCTGCATGGTGCCAGGTATGAAAAGAGATAATGATAAGACCAACTCTAAACTGAACATGCTTAAAAGGGCAGAATCAGTCATGTGTGGAATAGTAGCTTCAAGGAGGATGCAGATGTTATATGTCTGCCTTCAAGACTGACTATATTTCTAAGCAATATGTGTTGTTTATCAATCAGAAGGTGGAGGATTTAACTGCAGGAAACTGTTTTATTTGTTCTAAACTGATGCCGGATCTCCCCAGTCCCTTCTACAGCTAGGATCTCTCCATTCCTGTGTGCTGTGGTGGACAGAATCACTAGCCAGACAAGTCATATTCTATATACTATCTGCACTTAAAGAGCCCATTAAAGTCAAAAAGCTATCTTTGGTAGCTTACCCTGGAAATTTTCAAGGTATGAAAGAGTTTGTTTCATCTGAACATCTCAAGCACTCTTGCAAAATGGGTTAAAACCAGAAATATTTATTCTACATAGAGACTTGCTAAGACCCATTGAGTTCATTTTCCTCCTGTGGCACATGGCCATGTGCAAAAAAACCTGTGGCTTCAGCAACAGCTCTGAGAAGGGGGAAGTTGAGGACAGCAGACTTTTGGGCTTGCCTTTATCTGAGCTTCACCATCCAGCCTTGGATCTAATCCAACTGGAATCCAACACAAGCATGAGCTAGACTGGTGGGCATAGTGCCCAGATGTCCTGAGTGAACTCTGAAATGTTTGAGAGAGACACATGTTCTTTATCTGATCTGATAGCAGAAGGCAGTCCTGCAGTGAAAAGAGTGGCTGCTGATTATTTTAATCTAAAATTGAAGGCCTAGGTAAATGCAACATTAAACAGAAACCCCAAATCTTTGTCACAGTGATAGATCTGAACATGGTGACTTGTGTTTCCTTTGCATTACAGCTCTTTTACTAGCAGGTGGATGCTTTCCCTCAAAGATTTTGTGAATCTGGACAATTCTAAATTTTAGATAAAACAAAGTCTTATGCTGTTTCTGTCCAGAACTGAGAAGCTGTGCATGGGAACAGATAAAAGTGAATGGGAACACACCAAAGTGAATGGGATAACCTTGAGCAACAGAAGCAGAGATGCATGCCACAGGGATGTGTGTACCTGTATAACATATTTAAGTTAAAGATAGCCAGGACTGGTGAGCTTCATCAGCTGTAATCATGAAGGCAAAACATTTAACATCTGACATATCTATCAAGGCTAATAGAATTTGAGGATATGTACTGAAACAATTGGGGAGCAAGTCTGAATAATGATCAGTACACGTTAAATACATGAATTTTTGGAAGAAAAGTATCTGAGATGTTCTACATCTCTGAAAGAGACATATTCTGGTTGCCTATAATACTTTTAATGATGATTTCTGTTTGTACTGTAGCATGACCTAGTTGGTGAGGAACTGTCCCCTTCAAGCTGTGCTTTAGTGAGACAAGATAAATGTCCATTTTAACTGGATATCATTAGTGATTCTTTCAGAACATGGCTTGAAAGATGTACAGACTGGCCAAAATGGTTAATGTTTATTAATTATTGATATTTATTAATATGAATTGTCTCCAAACAAGCTGATTTCTAAATGCATCACATTATACATTTAGCAGGAACGAGTTGCCAGTTTCCTGCCAAACGTGCAACTATTGATAGATGTTAGTGATCTCTATGAGAAAAGATAACATTCATTTGCATGGCAGGGAGTTCTACTGAGAAGTATACTGATAATATTTTTTAATGTTTTTTGTTGCAAAAGTTTCAACCAAGGTCAAATGTACTTACCTCCAATCTTAGATGGATTTTGCCGACTAATCTTGCAAGGGATTTTGATGACCTTTGAGCATGTTATTTCCTTGTTTATGAATGTTTTTCCTGACCATTTACTAACTCTGAAGGAGGGAAGTATGAGTTCTGGGAATATGCAGACAGACTTTTGTAGCATTTGAATTTTCACTGCTTTATCCATGAATATTTGTTGCTTTTTCTCAGCTTTTTGATCTGTTAGTGGGAAAGCAAACTCTACACAACACTAACTGTGATATTTGAAGGTTATAAGAGATTTTTATTTATGGGAATTGACAAATGAGAGATTTCCAGGACAATTTGATTTCTGTCAGAATGACAAAGAACTGTAGGTATTAACATCTGGGAGGAAAAAGCTCATTAGAAAATTTAAAGGATTACTGTTGAGCATGAGGATCAAAGAGAACATCATATTTTTAAAGTTTCTCTGGTCTAGGTGGGCCCTGAGTAACAACACCTCCTCCTGCTCTCCACTGCCTGCTTGATAGCATAGATCTGCAGGACTGGAAGAACCTCGAGAGGTTATCTGGTCCCTCCTTTTGCCAAGAGCAGGATCAGTGTCACTGACGGTTATTTAATCTGTGCTTCACTAGCTCCCATGAGAAAGATCCAAAGTGAGCTGGCACCTTCTGCTGCCTACCTGTTCTTTTAGTTATAAAGTTTTACTTCATAACTAAAATACATCTCTTTTGTTGTCACCAGCTAATCAGCTGATTATTTTTTGTTCTGGTTTCAGTGGAGATGGGAAACAGTAGATCTACCTTATGCATGTTGGGAGGCTGTTTCTTCCTCTGACTCTGCAACCCCTTTGTATCAAGGGTCTGCGTTTACTAATGATCCACATGTTTCCAATGAAGAAAAGTAAAAAGATTTATTGAGATAATTAGATTACTTTGTTTATGAAAGTGATGGAATTGAAAGAATCATTATCAAGAACCTCATCATGTGTGATTGACCCAAATACTTAGTCCTTGAGCCTCTTAAAAAATGTAGAGCTAAATTGCAGTGGTTGCCTGGGTTACAGTGATTGCTATGATTTATGAAACAATCTCTTAGAATGACATACATCTATAAGAAAACAGAGACCACATGTAATTCACTAAACCTGTCTTGATTCCTCTGACATTATTGCTTTAAAAATAGGTACACTGATATATAGTTTAAAAATGTATAAGCTATGTGATGCATAAAAAATGAAATCAGCAGCTTTTACAATGGCATATGTAGCAAGCTGGAGTACCTTTACTAACACTGTTCTGCATGGAGGATCCCTCAACTGAGTTGGTTGTTCTCTAGACAGATGGTGAATAAAACTCACTATGTTCATAGAAATACCTCTTCCTTCTCTCTGGCTTCATCTTGCTCCTTCACTTTTGTAGTCCAATACTTCCTACTTCATGAGCTCGTTAGTTTAAGTTAAAAAGAATGAGCATGTGCCTCTTCTCATCATATTTTTATGGCCTATACAGGTGTCTGTCCCTTGCATCAGTAAAAGCTGACTTCTAAGCAGCCTTTTCAAAGGTGGCTTTTAGATAGCTCATGAGGCCTCCTTTTCTACAATAGCCTTTCTAGGCAGCTTTGTGTTAAAATTCTTGCCGTAAAGTACTTTCTATTTACAAGTCTTGTGTAGGTAGTTCTTTAAAAGCTTGAATTGCAACATTCTTTCTATAATACACCACAGCAAAAAAAAATAAATGCTGGCACATGTTAGTGTCTGGCCGAAGCTGATGAATATTTGAGCTGCTGTGGCCCTGTTGGCACTTTCTGATGATGCTGAGCTAGCTGGCTCAAACTAACCAGGCAGAAAAAAGCCATTCATTTTTGCCTGACTCTACTTGCTCAGCCAGGTCAATCCTCCCCTGTGGCTGCTGGTGCCATGTAAAGGAGGGGCTGGAAACGCGTGGCTGGGGTCAGAGGAAGAGGAGTGGGACTCCAGCAGTCTTGGCTGAGATTGGCTTGAGCTGCTGTGAAACTGCACCAATGACTTTTCAAGTTCTCTTAAATCACTTGGTAGTTTCAGTCTTGACATCTTTAGCAACAAAATGATGGCTTAGGAGCTCTTTCCTTCTATCAGTCTGCAACTTCTGAGATAATATCTGTTCATCAAAAGTAGTTTTAAAAGTCTTTAGTACTATATCAGTTGTCTCAAGCTGAAGTCCCAGGCATGTTTTGACAATTTGCCTACTCACTTGTATTTGGAATCATGATTATATTTGGAAAACTCAGGCATATTCACAGAATCTTCCTGCAGAAAACATCTCCAAATTTAGCAATGCAACCCACATTCCTTTAGAAATGAATTCTATTAATTTCTGTACCTTTTAGCATCCTTCTCTGAAAGAGCTAATCGGTTGCCTGATCTCCTGCTCAGAACTGTTTTATGCTTGGGGGAAAAGATTTAGCCTTTTAAAATTCTACAACTTTCTGGTGTTGCAATAGGATTTCTTTCTTGGTTCCTTCCTTGTAAGCACATCCATTAAATTGTAATATCATTTATTAATGTAAATAAGAGATCACCATCCATAACAACAGCAGATCCCCTAAATTTTGTTGATCAATTGCAGAAAATTTTACAGCTGTCAAAAAACAGCCATAGTGAGTGTTGTCAGAGAAGGAATTGTGCAGTTTTCCTGTGTTTGTTCTTTGCTAGTCCCATGTCCCTTGGACAATAGCTCATGGACTTGGGCAAATGAAGCTGATGACAAATATATTCTTTCCCTGGACTGCTTACACTCACCTTCCCAAGCAGCCACTCTCCAGCGTACAAGACATTTCAAAGTCAGAGTACCTGGTACCATTTCCATGGGTTTTTTGAGTGCTTCTTTGTGTCTGATCATAGTGGGCTCACTCCTAGTCATTCACCAGCTCAATGCATTAGAGATTCTTCTGCTGTCAGTTCTGACACAGACATCATGCCTTGCCATTTCTGGGATGCCTTCAGCAGCGCGGGCAGTGAGACTATGCCTTTGTCTCATATTGCCAGGTGTTTCTATGTTAGGTTCAGCACCTTCAAAGTTTTCACTAGGCAAGAGTGCAGCCTCAGTTTTCCTGTCACACCAACGTAATGTTTTCTTCGTAGCTACCAACCCCTGGCAGTCATTGTGTAAATCCCATATAACTCATGGTGATCATGTAGGAATATTGTATGTTTCCTCTGTGCTCTGATATAAAGTCTTCAAGAAAAATTGGGGAAGCGCTTTTGAGTAACTGTGATCTTTCTAGTCTAAATATCTGCTCCAGTTTGTTTGAAACTGTTCACATCTCATTTCTGTTCTGTGGCTCACATCTGTCTTAGGGTCCTACCAGGCTTATGTCAGCCTTGATTGATGGAAAAGTAGGAGGGCAAAATGTAAAAAAGGTGGACATCTAGCAAATAAAAGTGAACTGTCACACAATGTATTTTACTGGAGTCAGCTCAGCTGTGGTATCCCAGAGAGAGATATGGTTGGGAATGAGGGATGAGAGCCTGAGAGCAGCTGTTGGCCTCATACTGTGCAACTTGGATTACTCTTGACTTGCATCATTGTCCAAGCAAAGAGAAATGTGGGAAGCAAAGTAAGACCCGAAATAGAGAATTATGTATAACTTGTGTGTGTCTGTGTTTGTGTGTATGCTCACATACACAAATAAACATTTTCCTGAAAGTTTTAAACACTTGATGATGCACCTGTTGTAGAAGAATTTTTAATGTGATTTGAAGATGTTTATATCAAGTTAATACAAACGTATTCAAACCTTTTAGGCAATAAAAAGCTCTGTGCAAAGGGCTGATCCTTTGAGATCCATCACAAAGGAACATCAAGGAAAGAAACCATCTAACTGCTCCCTTGGCAGAAGCACAACACCAACTGGCAGGAGGACACCTCATCAGGGAAGACTGACGCCTTTCGAACCAGAAAAAGTAAGTCAGTAGCAAAGTCTATTTAGACTGCCTTTATTTTCTTTTTACAGTATTGTTCAGAAGCAGGATTGGGATCCTGATCCCCATATAGCTGCTGCTTGGTATTCTTTCCCTGGTATGGCAGGGTTTTTGCCAGAAATTATCTTAGAGACTGTTTGTCCATTGAGCTATTCAGGCACCTGCAGGCCAGAGCATGGATGAGTGCTTTGAAACCTGCCCTCCTTGCCCTCAGGAGAAGTTCAGAGGTGATCCTATGCACCAAATATCATGGCATCACACGGGTCAGCAGCTCCCTGGGGGCCAGGGGCTGGGAGCATCAGGGGCTCCCCATGGAATCTGGCAGGGCAGGTCCCGTTCCACAGCCCCAGCCAGGGAGGAGCACAGGCTGGGGATGGAAGTAAGGGTCAGGCCAGAATCCCAATCGTCAAAGCCCATAGTGATGAGACAGGTCTGGGGTCACAACAGGAGGTCAGCCCATGGGTCAGAGTTCGGATTTGGATCAATGAGGTGCATGGCCAGGCACAGGCATGGCTGCAATGCAACCCAACATGGATCAAGAATGAGAGCTGCTGAAATGCAGCTCCCAGGAGAAGGGATGGGATGGGGAGCTGGCAAATGGACCTGTCTGAGGCTTCTTCCAGCCCTTCCACCCACAGCTCTTTCTCCACAGCAGTCTGAACCAAGATTAGATACCTGTACCATATCAGCGCACATACAGCTAAACTCCTAGGAAGGGGAAGTGCACTCTGGCCATGTCACTGATAGCTCCCATGTTACAGTGAAGCATGACTGTATGTCAAAGCGTCTCCATTTTGCTTCAGACCTCTCTTACTGGGAGAAGAACAGATGATAGGAAATCACCTGGAGCTGTCTCGCATCTGAGTGGCGGTTTTAAGGAGCCTAACTCATCTCCTTATGTAAAAGGTAAGATTTGTGGGAACTTTCAGCCCACTTACAGTGGTCTACAAATAACTTGGAGATACTGGTCCCTAACACTTGGCTCATCGTCACTAAAACTCTCCTATGATTCTTTGAACAATTATGAAATTTATATTTTACAAGAGAGGGAGAGCAGATTGTGCTTACTTACTCACTGAGTTTGTTGTCCTGGAAGCCCAGAAGGTGGGAGAACAGATGTGGTCTGCACTTCACTTTGGTCCAGGACAGAACACCTCCAGGAGGATGGACAAACTGTTAGCAAATGTTATCAGTATGAGAAGCAATGTGTTCCAAGAATCTAAGAGCTAGCATCTTCAAAAAACCTTCTGAGATAGGTATGGAAACATGTGATTAAGCAATTTTCATATGTTTTCAATGACCCCTTTTACTTTGCTTTTTCTTATAGACAGGTCTTTGGCCATTTCAGATAGCTCAGAAGACATGCCCCTGTCACATAACCACAACAATGACACTTGCACCTTTGCACTCTGCAGTAACAATGAAGAAACAGAGGTATTTCACCATATAACTCTATAAAATAATTCAGTGAGTCTGTGATCTTAGTTTTCATATACAGACTGCTAACTCCCATTCAGCTGGGAACAATACTCTCCTGGCTTTATTTTGTTGCCTCTACTCATGATAAGTACCCTCTTTAAAACAATATTGCAATGGCTTACCAATAATGTAGTTGATTTCTTTATCAAGATATTCCTGCACAACTGTTGGACATTAATAGATTTATGTTGCTAGTTAACATTTTAATTTTGGCTCAGGAAGAAGAGACTCTCAATATGAAAAAGACTGAAAAATTGCTAAAACCTCAGAATAAAGTGGCTTTTGTGACCACACACAGGAGAAGTGGCATAACTGCATATGACAACAAAGTATCTATGAGCAATTGTCCTGCTTTTCTGGATGCTGAAACAAAGGTTTGACCAACTCATGATTCTGGCTCTCATATGATCAGCAACTGTCTTCTTTCCATTTGTGAACTGAAATAAAACGCACCAAGAAAAATAAAATCTTCCATTCCCATTTTCTGGGCTATGCAGCAGACACAGAGCTTTAGGGATGGATCTGGCAACTTCAAGCACGGTGTTTACAGCTTTTTACTGGAGCATATCATTGCCCTGTGAGGAGTACTCCCTGTTCCTTTGGATCCCACAATTCAAAATACACCACATCTTCAAACTGTAATTAACATTAGTAACTGTTCTGGATGCTATGTGCCAGATGTCAATTAACTTAAGGCTCCTTTATGCTGCCAGACAGTGCAAAGAGCACTCGTCGTAACAGTAAATTGGGAGTGTAACATCTTGGATAGCTCTCAGTTATGTAGTTAGCATTACCTATAGCTAAGAACTATGTAATTTGCTTTGGAAGAGTGGATGTACCTAATACAGATACCTTTCTTTGCAAATCAGTAACCCAATATTGAGAGAGAGTTCTGTTCTTTGTTCTTGTGTTTATTATCTCCATTTCCTATGGTGTAGTTTTGCCAGAATGCACTCTTGTCACCTCATTTTTCGACTTTCTCTATGCTATCTTTTGCTTTGCAAACTGAAGTTAGCTGGAGTTAATGCACAACATTTCTAGTTCTGACTAAAAGATCAAAATTCAATACAAATGCCAGGCAATACTAGAAAGAAGGGCAGCTTTCCTCTGTGTGTGTGAAAGAAAATATTGATTTTGCACAGTTGATTAAAATTAATGAAAATATTTTAAAAACATTTCTGTTTATATACCACTGACTGTGATGTTTTCATAATATAGCCTCCAAAATCAGTATTATCTAGAAGGTCAATGTTACATCAAGAAAGAAGAAAAAGTGAGGAAGAGGTGCGGGAAAAAATAGAGTATCGTGATGGAAAGGTGAGATAAAATAGGATGCAAAAATACTTGAAGCTATCACCAATAGGACTACAGTATAGATGGGAATCACTGCTTCAAGTAGCCATAGACAATTATGTCTCCAATTAAGTGTCTGTTTCTTAAAGGAGAGCTGAAGGGTAAAGTTCACACCATGAATGGCAGGAAACATATATAGCTGACGGGCTGGAAATCAACTAACCAAATTATTTTTTTATCTCCCACATGAATTTGCTCTGTGACTTTCACCAAGTCCTTTTCATTTCAGCAACCTCAGCTGGGAGGAATGATATGTTTACCATTAGAAGTGAAAATGTGCTAGTGGGGCGGTGATGGTGTTTTGTAGTGCAAGATTCAAGGCTATTCTTTTCTTTCCTTGGAAGTGAATCTAATGGTAGTGAGCTGTGCCAGCTGGACACCACTTGTGGGAGAAGTCTTTCATTGTACACAGCTGGCTACACCTGGGGTAACACCAGTGGAGTTGGGCTCAAAGCAGCCTGTTCAGTTTGCTCAAGCCACTTGTCAAAATCCCCAGTGATTCCCCAGCTGCATCTAGAGATCGCTTCCAGCTGCCCCTGGTCCTGAGGCCCACAGCTCAGCTCAGGCAGCTGGTTTCATCTCTTTCCTTGGAAGTCCCTGTCTTCCAGGAGCAGATGAGCAGTTTTTTTTTTCCCATTGTGTCCCTGCACTCCTTGACACAAATCTGGATAATTTGTTCCCGAGTGGCCAAGCCACCTTACCTGCAGAGCACCTCAGGAATGATCTTGAAAGGGTCATTCTGTAGATGAGTCTATGCATTGGAAATTCTGTGCATTGCTGTTGGGAAAGGTTGTCAGCAAGGTGACCAAGTGAGCTGGTGCTAGTTCCACTGCTGATAGAGATCTCTTTCCAACACTCACTGCTTATCTAGGCCAGATCAGAACTCAGCCCCAGATGTCTCTTCAATTACACTGCTCCAAGCAGGCTTATGCTGTTAAAACATTCCATTGATATTGACTGAGTTGTCAGTTCTGGGTAAGGTTTTTGGCTGGATAAAATTAGGACAGTAATTTAGTTTCTGTGTCTGTTCAGTTCTGGGCTTCTCTTCTCACCCCGCCAGTACAGGTGTTGATTAATGAAACAGTGAGCAGTCACAGAAATGGCTTTTGCAATGTAACAGCTGTTCAGGGAATACTGGTTTGAGATGCCAATTCCTTTACGGCTAATGCTGAGATGGGCTCTGTGAAAGCTTCTACCAATTACAGTTCCCTCCTGTAGAAGTAGCAAATACAACATCTGTTGTTTTGGTCCTCAAAAGAAAAATAATTGTAAAAAAAATTCACTCTGACATTTTTACCACTGGATTTTATTCATAAAATTGAATGGTGAGCTGGACTTCCTTGTGCAACTAGAGAGAGAGGTCAAAATGGGGCCTGACTCCTCTAGAAAGAGATATTAACTCTCATTTAAACTATGTGGACTTCTTGTAGCAATGCCTTTTGTCATAAGTAGGTGTAAGAACATCTTTCCATTACTGACTAGTAATGTTTAAATAAAAAAATTTCTAAAACCTAAAATCTTGCCCTCAGTAATCATTACAGTGCCTGTTTGGGGAAATACTGCATTTCTCTTCCCCAGGCATATTTATTCCTTTTTTTTTCTTTTTTTTTTGGTTGGGAGGTATTTCCTTTTTGTGGAGTCTGATAAAATTGGAACCATATGTCAGAGCTATAGTGCGTCGTCTGGTTGTCTTCTTCTTTGGACTTCACCAAATGAATTGTTTTATGGGATTTGATATATGCTGAACAGAACCAGGTGCCATAGTAATTCCAGGAAAATTAATTAACCAGAGGCTATGCTAGGTATGAAATCTTCTTTGACCAAAGTTTTGTTTGCAGAAGAGAACACTGGTGACTTTATTGCCCCCTGTTGCTAAGAAGTCTTGAGCGATTTTGCAGATCTCTGCATGCAGCCACACTTAATTCTGTAGTACTGAATGTCCATACAGGGTTACATTACTTGGAATAAAATGGTTGTTAACATATGTCAGCAGTCTGTGTTAATACATCAAGTTCAACCATTTTGGTTCACACAATCCAGAATCGAGGTCTCTTGAGTGACTTGCGTGGAAGGTGTACCGGCACATATGAAATGAGTACAGACAGTAACTCACTGAAGTTGGTAAGGAAAAACCTGAATGGCTTCCGTATTGCCACAGGCCCGTGTGCCTTACCTTGCTTAACAGAAAAACCAGGTGGTGGGGTGGGAACTTGGGCCGAGTGCTAGAACTAAGTTCATTTTGTGAAAAGAAAATTACTTTTGGCCTCTTTTACACACAAATGAGGCATAAATAATGTACCTGTGCTGCAGAGAGAGCTTTTGAAATAGCATGACTTACTTCAAGCTCCAATTTGGAAGGCAGTGCAATGTTACGTGTTTCCTTTGACTTCATTTACGTTAGATGCTCTATGTGTTTGAAGGTAGAAGAGGTGCTTACTGATGGACGTCGAATCATCACTTTCCGCAATGGTACTAAAAAAGAGATCAGTGCTGATAAAAGGATGACAACAATTAACTTTTTCAATGGAGATGTAAAGAAGATCATGCCAGATCAGAGAGTGGTGTGTATCATATTTTTTTTCTTTAAGGAAAATAAAATGATTAAGAGATTTTCCAACAAGGTCCTATCATTTATCTTAATATATTAATTCTGGGAGAAAATTATGAGGAAGGGTGTTGGTTTAACAACCCTGAGTGGTGAAACTGTTTCACCCACAAGGACAAAAAAGGAAAGAGATGAAGGTAATAGTCAAGGAACAAATGGGTAGTTGACCAAGCAGATTAAAGGATACTGAAAGAAGGCGAAGGGCAGGGGCAGCCATCTGAAGCAAGGACTGTTTTATATATATTTGTAGGGTAGGTAGCACAGGGGGTTCTTCCCTCTTGCCATTATGTAAATATAAATAGTTAATGTGAGCTAGAGTGGAAATAAGTGAGGCCTTGGCAGCAGTGAGACTATTTTAAATTTGTAGTGCATGGATGGGAGCCAAAGCAAAGAGATGGGAAGATGACTTTCATGCGTGCACTGTTCTCTTGTATGCTACAGAGATGAAAGTAGCATTGTCTAGACACAGACATGAGGAGAAGGGTGAATGAGAGGAAGGAACAGCCGTGCAAACATAGCTACTTTTATGGATGGTAGATATAGAAAATGACCTTGAAATTACTTTTTTAGGATGGCTTATTTTTAAGCACATTGTTATGGTTGAATCTGCTTATGCGAATATTGTGAACATGCTGCAAACACTTGACTCTCCTTCCAGATTTATTATTATGCAGATGCACAGACAACCCACACTACTTATCCAGATGGCCTGGAGGTGCTGCAGTTCCCTAATAATCAGATAGGTATGCAAGAGCTCATAAATGTGAACTATATGTGCAGGAAGGTTTCTATTATGAAAGTGTCATCTGATTCTGACTCCAGCAGATTGGCTATTTTCTTCTCATTTCACATTGTTTTTGTGCTTCACATCCAGTATGTTCCATCACCTTACTGCTCAGTTTTCACCTACAAAGAGGAGATAATAATGGGATGTAAATACGTATCTTCTAATTTTGATTATCTGCTTATTTGAATCTTTAATTTCTTTACCAATACACTGGATATCATTTCCATCCTCACTACAATGTACAAAAAATATCTGATCTAATTCTGTATAAAACCGCATGAAAGAATACTAGACAGACTTTCTACATCTTCTTTTCCACAGAAAAACATTATCCTGATGGTACACGAGAAATTGTGTTCCCAGATCACACAGTGAAATGTCTCTATCGTGATGGATTCAAGGAAACTTTTTTCCCAGATGGTACAGTAGTAAAAGTAGAAAAGTAAGTCTCGTGTTAATGAAAGGAACCAGGCATTGGACACAAGTACAATGATACTGATATTTAAAACTGCGGCTGGATTCTGCATGGCTGGGAAATTTCCAGATGAAAGGAGAAAACATTTGTAAAATAGCAAGGGTTTTGCCACAATAAGGCACTGAAAATTGTTCACTTCCCCCTTGGATGACAGGTTACCATTTATCACTGGCAAAGTGACTGTGAAATACTCCTCATTTAGTTCCATGTAACTTTATAGTGGCCAGGGTTGCTGGGAGATCACCAGTGGTCTGTGTTACGAATGTGGGTACCAAAGGAATCAGGATGAGGACTCTTGAGCTCTATTTCTAGCTTTTTGTCTCCCTTTCTGATCTCGGGCAAGGCATTTCATGTATTCTCTCTCTATTCCTCCATGTAAAATAAGGAAAAATAATAGGACTTTCTTACAGATGCCTCTTCTGGGCTTAGGGAGGATCCTGTTGTAAAATAGATTTCCTGCTTGCAAAAGGCCTTGAGATCCGTGCACGAAGAAGTCATGTCAAATGCAGACTTCACCATCCATTAACTATTATACTACGTACTGAAGTACCTTTGTATTGAAATCTTATTGTGAGCACAGAACCGTAATGCCATCCCATGTAAATTCTGAGGTGAATTATCTGAACCTATGTGAGAAAGTTTCCCCTTGACATTAATGTGACACATTGAAAGTGGAAAATAGACAGCTCAGTGAGACAGGTTAATAATAGACAGTGCGTTCTCATCACTTCATTCATTGCTATTTCTTCCAGGAATGGAGATAAAGTAGTGGTATTCAGTAACGGCCAAAGAGAGATTCACACTGTGCAATTCAAGAGGCGGGAGTACCCAGATGGCACAGTAAAAACTGTGTACTGCAATGGCGGACAGGAAACCAAGTACTCCACCGGACGAGTTCGAATCAAAGATGAGGAGGGTAATATCATCCTAGATAAGAAGTGATTTCTCCCTCTCAAAGGGCTGCACTGCAAGTAAGTAGGTCAACCCGTTTTCTTGGCAGGTCAGAACTGTTAGGAAGATTTAAGCTTTGTTAAAATGAATGGATGGATGTGTAGGGCTGAAATTTACTTTGGCTCAGTGACTGGTGCTTAGTTTGGAATAACCTTACCTGAATGTCTCTTGAACACATAGACTTGAAGGAGATGCAGCCATGCCCTCTTTGTGTATGTAACATTAAAATAAGTGCCCATAGTACTTCTCATCAAAGTGTTTGTTTCACGGTACTGATCACACTTCCCTTGTTTTTCTGCTGGTTAGTTACAGAAGTGACTACAATTAAGGAGCATGGCATGAGAACCTCTAATCTACAAAGCTGTTTGAATTTCAGTTCAGTGCTGCTTTATGCTGACCAAAACAAATCTATGTGGTTTTGTTTTTTTTTTTCCCTCAGTTAACCATCATGAAAAATGTGGAAGTGATTAATGTTTTCTGTTTGGTTGGGTTCTTTGGAGTAGAAGATCCCAGCATGTATCAGACCTTATCATGAGCTGTACATTAGACCAAAACCCGAGCAGGAGTTGAATGAACAGTCATAGCTCTGAATGTACCTTCCAACCTAAATTATTCAATAATTATGTGATGGTAATCTAAGAACTCTGTCTCATGCATTTGAAGACAAAATATAATGTTTATTCTGTCCTAATCATTATTCCGGATGAAACAGCCATTTTTTCTTCCTCCAGCAATCTTTCCTCAGACCTTCTCTGTATTGCTTTGTTTTTGAATTAACCTTTCCCAATACTACCTTTATTCTTCCAGTAATGCAGAAGTACTTCTGGACAGTGAATCTCTTTAAGGCTCTTTGGATGGCACTTGATATCTGGGGGGATTAATCATTTATCAGATGCTGCTTTCAACTGCCTTTCCCATAGTCTGCCTGTCCATCATCTGTCTTGAATTTTGCCAAAGCACTCAAGTATTTCCCCTGTAGAGCGCAGCTCATTACCTGCCCATTGACCAAGAAGACCAATTATCTCCCTATGCCCTTCAAATTCCTGTGGCAGCAAACACACTTTCATAGCATGCTGTTTTAGCCTTTTCTCACACCTATGTGCAAAATAATTGCAAGATTACGGAATTGTTCTGTTTTCTCTTCAGTTTCTAGTGAGTCAGGCTATCGACAAGTCACCATTCAAATTACAGAGCATCTTTGGAAGAAATAGATTGAATAGAGCAAGAAACGTTGCTCATATTGATCATACACATTCTTCAGTTTATGAATTCAGTTATGATGCTGTGAACATCCATGCAGTTTGACGTCGGTTTGTGTGATAATAAAATTGCATTGTCTTTCCTTTACTCCTGTATAACAAAGGGACAATTTATAAACCTGTGCTTTTCACTATTGAAATATTTAATATATTTTATGTGTTTTGTAAAAGGAAACTCTGATTAAAAGAAATCCAAGATATCATTCTTTTCCATGTGTTTCACTAAGAATTTCAGTGCAGAGCTGCCTTATGCTGACCAAAAGAAATCTATGTTGATTTTTTTCCTCAATTAAGCATCATGAAAAAATTGAATGTGACTAATGTTTCCAATTTGGCTGTGAAATTAGATGTGATACTGATGTTTTCTAAAGGACCACTGTTTTTATTCCCAGGAATTCCTTTTAACAAAAGGTCCCTGTTTTTCAGTTAACATGCCCACATTCTCTTTGTTTCTATAGTCATACAGAAAGCAGGCTTTGTTTGCAGCTTTTAGCCTGAAATCGCTGTTTGCCATTCACCAACCTGTGTATATAATCCCTTCTAATTGTAAATTAAATAAGGAACAATTTTGTTTGTATGCTGCTTGCTCCTTCCTTCATTAAGCACTCTCAACTGTACTTGCAGGAAGCATTTTGACCCTGGAATAATTCGACCTATGGTCCTGCATAGGTGTAACAGGAGGGGATATGTCCAAGTCAGTCCCTATGCACGCAGAGATGCACATGTGCAAGCATCTTGCTGATATATGCATACACCGTGCTGATGCATACATTCACCTGGTTAGCACCTGCTTACCGGGAGGCTGTAACGGTACCTAAGTATGGGCCAGGTTCTACTTTCTGGCAAATCAACAGCAAACTTTCCACTGGTGAAATTAAAGGGTGAGACTACTGAGGATTTCACAGTACTTTTGCCAACCCACGTCTGGCTGCTGTTTTTACCAAGACATGTTTTTCAAGTGGTATTTTATAGTGTAATAGCAAAGGGATTATTCAAATAAGGGGCACAAATTTAGTTTGAAAAGGAGGAGACAGAAAAACACCTACATAAATGAGAAGCTCTATCAGGTATGTTATAAGTAGGAGTCCTTCACAGACCAGTTATGACACATGCCACGTTATTTTTCACAGGCTGATTCTCACACCCTATCTCCTCCACCTACCACTTGCATTAATTAACCAGAAGCAGTAATGTCTCTACCAGTTCATAGTTGTAGGAGCACAAATAATCCAAATTAAGCATGACTGCATATGTACTTAATCTGTAGCAATTCAAATACCTACTTTACTATGTTTTTTGTACTAGAGGGTTTATAGCGAAAAAATTTTTATGAATCCTTCAGGGAGATGCAACAGAGTTGGGAAGCCCCACCTCTCATCTTTCCACAGGTTTTCTGGCATTAGCAGAAACATGCTACAGCCAGTATTTGGCCTCAGTTTTGATTCAAATTTAGAATATGCTGTGACTTCTCAATGGTTACTTCCATTCAGACAGCAGGGGCAGCAAAGATCATAGAATCACAGAATCGTAGAATCATTATGGTTGGAAGAGACCTCAAAGATCGTCAAGTCCAACCGTATACCTGATGCCACCATATCTTTCATGGTAATTGCTAAATTACAATTTTTAAATGGGTATTGTTTAAGATATGTCTCTTTCTAATACAACTTCTGTGTTCATCTAACCTTCTTCCAGATGAAGTTGTCATTTATGATATGTCTATATAACCTAAGATCATCAAGTTACACAGATGTTAAATAGCCTACCCTTTTCTTTATGTTCTGGTTTTTTTGATCATAACTGTTTGCTCACTAATTTATTTATTTCCTTTATGATGCTCTTTGTATCTGTCCCATCCCTGGAAGCCTGAAATGCAGCTTCATTGAAAGAAAAAACAAGGACAAAACCTCCCACGTGGGGGATAGGCCTCCGGTCTTTATCAGAGAGGAAAGAGGGGCATGTGGTTAACTCGTAGCTCAGAAGTCAGGTGTAGGTAAACAGTGGCTGAGTTGGGCAGATTTGTGTGGAGAATGCCAGCTCCTGGGAGTTGTTTATTTTTAGCTTCAGTTTTTGCTTGGGAGGTTTTTTTTATTTTTTTTTTTATTTTTTGTAACCACAAAGCAGTCATAGAGCTCTTCAACAAGCAGTGTTGTGGAGTCTTAACCATTGTCCGTTAACAATGCAGAGAGCAAAACCAGCAGTGTCTCAGCGGGGGCTTGGTGGGAGGAAGGTTTTAGAGAAGGGTCCAGGAGGTATTTCGGGGAGTCTGGGAAGCAGGGCAGTGCTATTAGAAGTGTATGGCTACTTTACCATAGGAGTGTAGTGTGTAGGTTAAAAATAGCCCTGAGCTGTCTTATATCCTGTAGTGAGGGAATTATTACCTAAAAATGAAGGGATTTGAAGCAAGCTTTCGTCTAGGAATGAGGGTCCTATTGGAAAGGGACTTAAGGCCTCATTAATGAGCTGAGATTGTGGCCAAAATTTGAATTTCTGTATATGATGACCTTCTATATTCCAAAGTGATATGTACTTCTATATTCCAATATTAATATGTATATTAATATATTTAGTGATGTTTTACAGTCAGACTCGCAGTACTGTCCCATCTCAGGTTGCAGCTAGTGCTGGAATGGAGCCAGATCTAAACTGCACTGTGATTATTTCTCTGAATCCCCTTAGAGATCAGAGATTCCCCCCCCTGTACAGACTGCAATTGAATTCTCCTTAGTGAGAGCTTTCCTCAGGTGAGGTATTTATAGGGAACAGGAGAGAAACCTGATAAGTAGGTACTGAAGTGCGGTCATGATGTAATAGGACTTACATAAAATACCACAAAGGGGAAAGTAGCCTTGCTGTGTCTCTTGCAGGCAGTGCTCCTTTTCAGACCCCAGGAAGCTGGGGGCTTGCTGCTGAGCTTGCACACAAACCTAACGTTTGTGGTGGTCCCAGGAAATGTTTTTTATCTTTGCTGCAGCTTTCTTGCCTGGGAGTTCTTTCTCCTGTCTGCTTATTAAACAGCACGATGTCACATGCTAAAAATATTTTTAAAAAAGAAAACAAACAAACAACTCTACAAAACTAAACAAGTTTTGCAGTAGGTGGTTCAAATCCTTGGGCAAACATTATTAAATTAAGAAAAAAATGATGCAATTGAAAGTAGCCATGCTAAGCATTTGGATGAGCCGACATCTAGACTGCAGTTAGCTTTGTCTTTTCTACACTGCTCAACATTGCTACTAGCAGTGTTTTGGTGAAAGGCACTGTTGTGCGTGAATCCAATGTGTGGTAAACTGTACCGTCACAGTCTCTGTTAGGTAATCACAAATTAAGCTGTTAGTAATGTCTGAGCAATGAAGCCTTCTTTGGTGGTTTGTTCATGTCAGCTTTTATTCATGGAACATCTTTCATACCTCTGGCATTCAGGGTGTATTTACAAGAAATTGGCTCATCAAGCCTAGATCTAACAAATGTCAGCTTCAAATTCCCTGGTAATTAAGTGCAAAGAAAATAAAACATTTAAACTAATGAAGAACACTTACCCACTTTTAAGGAAGTCATATCACATATAAGCGGAAGCTCTTGGAGTGCAATTATGAAACAGTAACTCTAGGATTAGGCATTGGTCTAAATGAATGAACACAGAACTTCTGCCTGAAGGTTTTTTTGATACACTATGCAGTAAAATCCCTTTTGCCTTTATAGTAAACAAAACCACATAAATTTTATGACTGT